CCACAGAATTTATTCGTTCCTAGACCCTATGTTCAGACCACTCAACACCATCAGACACCTACTCAGATGTGTTATTTGAACTGCAAATGTTGTGCCATGTACTTGATGACCAATTGTGCATGTCCATGCAATCAGCAGAAAGTCTCCATCGCTACACAGACAGACCAGGTCCAGAAGAACTTTGTGAAAGATGATTACTTCAAGCCCAAAACCTCAGCTTACCAATTATTACAGGTATGTACTTTTATTTTATTTATACAAAGAAAAGGAGGTTATAATGTGAGTTTAATTTCCCAATATCAAATAAGAATGTAAAAAAATTATGTACAAAAGTTATATATGATTGTTATAAATGTTCAATTACCAAGCACTGTACAGATATGGACTTATTTCCATAAAAATCCTGACAGCTGTTTTTATTGTAGAAAAAAAAGTTATGATTAGTTATCCTTTAGGTGTCATACCACCAATTTAAAAAATCCCTATCCATTCAACCCAATTTTGCAATTTTTACAGTTTCCTTAAAATTTAAGCTTCATAAAAACCAGGATTATCCTGAGTTGTACATGTATCTGAATCACCTTTCTAAATGCAAATGTTCAACAGATGTTTAAAGTCTTCTAAGAAAGACCTGTCTTTCAGAAGTCAAGTACTACTAAAAATAACCCCTGGTTATTTGGAAATCTTAAATAAATATATATAAGGGAGTGCATAAATCATCAATTTTTGATGCAAACTCATCATGCTCATAAACAAGTAAATTTTGGGTCAAAATGGTCTAAATTTATTTCTCTTTCATCAAAAGTTTCATTTCTGCAATTTTGATGGTTATTTTAAAACAATGACATGAAAAGCACTAATTTTGTTTCAGAGTCACTTTTACTGTGTCAACATAATAAATACCATTTACTGTTCAAAATGTCTCTAACAAATACTTTTGGAGTTTTTGAGCTTACTAAAATTTTGACAGAAAGGCAGACAAATTAAAAACTATAGGGCTTATGTTTTTTGTCACCAAATGAAATTAAGATGTTGATTTTACAACCAATGAGGGGGGGTTGGAGGGGTCCTGATCTCGAAATACCGGGCTTAAAAACATGGTCCCGAATTTACAGAAATTTACATCCCAAAATTAGAAAAAAGAATTCCTGGATCCCAAAAAGGATCACTACCGAAAAACACCCGATCCTGGAGTCCCGATAAAGGTCCCCCTCTCCACCAATTCAAGTATGCTTAATGTTTTTTCCAAATTCTATTAACATGATTAACATTAAGAAATTTATTATAAATATTACACTTATTTATAAAGTAAGCTTTGCATATCAACTATTTTCCTAAAATATGTACTACTATAAATTTCTTTCTGACCAGTAATATTTAACCTTTAAAAGAATCAATATATTGACTTATCACTTAATGATATAGTCTAGCACTGAAAAACCAAATGCATTCTTTGTAATCCTTTTAAACGAGTGTACATTGAACTAGCTGTAACTATAGACTCTTAGATCTGAATTTAGTGTCTTTTTGTTGTTGGGATGTACAAGTACCCTGTCACATACACACATGTATTTCTATTTGTATCCATCTGATGAGTTAAGCCATTTTCTTTTAACTTTTATAGTTTGTTCTTATTATGTCCCAGTTTAGTGATTTTGGGGCTTCTTAAAGCTGACTATGTGATATGGGCTTTGCTCACTGTTGAAGGATGTACAGTGACCTGTAGCTGTAAATTTCTGTATCATTAGGTCTCTTGTGGAGTTGTTTTATTTGTAATCATACCACATCTTTTTATATCAATGAGATAATTAAAAAGTTAATCAGCCACCATAATAAGGTTGAGGCAAACTAAAGTTAGAGAACGGAAACAAAAAATTTAGCAATTATTTCAATAGTAAAGGGGCAACAGTTCACAGTTAAAGTGACACCCCCAAAATTCAAACCTGATCTATATTTTGTGATATTATAATAAAGCATTGTGTATAAATTATAATTTTCATAGCATTTGGTTGAAGCAAACTAAAGTAAGAAAACGGATTAAAAAAATCATTTTTTTTTCGCTTGTAAAGGGGCATAACTCTTGAATGGTTATACATTTGTAGTGACACCACCAAAATTCCAACTTGATTTGTTTTTGTGATAATTAGCATTGTGTATAAGTTTCATAACATTTGGTTGAGGCATACTAAAGTTAGAAAACGGAAACCAACTTAGGGACTTGAGCACACTTTTTCACATCTGTGGATATAATTTCATAGAAAAATATCGTCCGGATCCTATATAGTATATTTCATAATTACATTATGTCCGTGGACACAATTTTCTGTGAAAAAGTGTCCGGTGGACAATATTAAATCCTACATACCCACCAGTGGCAGATCCAGAACTTTTCATAAGGGAAGGGGGGCTCCTGTCATGCTTCAGTGATTCCCTATATAATCAACCAAATTTTCCCCACCAAAGGGGGGCCCCCCGCTGTATCCGCCTATGCCCACATAAAGTCTACCCAAATGGCCCCATCTAAAAAGTGGTTGTGGACCATTGAAGAGAAACTGGAGAAACTGTTGCAATAACTTGAATAAGTGAATAACTTATTGTCTTATAAGTTATATAAGTTATACAGTAGTCTTGGTTGATATTCAATTTTAAATCAGAACACTTTTTCATACTTTTGTTGTTTGACAAATGTGCATACTTACATTTGTTTTGGACTCTGCAGGGCAAATGTGTTACTTGGCTGTACATCTTAAGTTTATGGTTAAAATTTTATAACGTAGCTAAATCAGAGACATATATACACATCTCTGGCTAAATTTATACAAGTATTTGTGTAAAGGGAGGTAAGAGAGCAATCTCTTTATGGAAGGGGAATAGGTAAAAACAGTACTGCAACTGAGCTGCATGCATAAACATAACACGTTCTCATCTAAAATTAAAAATTCTCATTCACGGTAATTTTTCAAAATTCGTACTCAAATAGGCCGAACTATTACTCATAAGACAAACGTATGCAAAAAAGGAGAAAAATAGAGGAAAACATGTTTTTCTTTTTATCGAACACTTGAAAATTGTGAATCTGGCATATTGAAAATCTGGTGTATGCTAAACTCAATTAACTTACATTTCTCAGGTCTATGTGTCTGCGTACAAACCTGGTGTATGCAGACTCTTCAATTTTATTTCTTAAATTTTTTTTCAGGTCTGTATGCCAGCATACCAACCTGGTGTATGCTGAACCTCCCATTTTATTTCTTGATTTTATTTTTCAGGTCTGTATGCTAGCATACCAACCTGGTGTATGCTGAACCTCAAATTTTATTTTTTGATTTTATTTTTCAGGTCTGTATGCTAGCATACCAACCTGGTGTATGCTGAACCTCACATTTTATTTTTTGATTTTATTTTTCAGGTCTGTATGCTAGCATACCAACCTGGTGTATGCTGAACCTGACATTTTATTTTTTGTATGGAAAACCTTCAACTTTATTTTTCAAGTCTGTATGAATGTATACGGACATAGGGGCCTCGGTGGACAAGTGGTCTTAGTAGTTACTACTGTAATCACTAGACTCGACATTGAGGTTGTGACTCCAATCTTAATTGACTAGGATTGTATTTTTCAGGTCTGTATGCTAGCATACCAACCTGTTGTATGCTGAACCACCCTATTTATTCTTGATTTTATTTTCAGGTCTGTATGACTGCATACCAACCTGGTGTGTTTAACCTTCTATTTTATTTCTTATTTTATTTTTTAGATCTGTATGCCTGCATACCAACCCGCTGTATGGAGAACCTTCAACTTTATTTATCAAGTTTGTATGAATGCATACGGACATAGGGGCCTCGGTGGACGAGTGGCTCTAGTAGTTACTACTGTAATCACTAGACTCGACATTGAGGTTGTGACTCCAATCTTAATTGACTAGGATTGTCAGTTTTCCTATCGAAGGTCGGAAGTTTTCTTCGGCCACTCCGGCTTCCTCCACTAATAAAAAATTGCCGCCACAAAAAACAAATCAAAGTGCATATATACGGACATATGATGGATGAAGAATTATGACATTACTCCATGGTCTTTTATTCACAGTTTTGGCATAATTGTTAGTGTGCAGGAAGCGCCGTTTATTTGCTTTTTTTTTGTTTTGTTTTTGATGTGAATGTCTTGATTTTGTGTCATTGATGGGTATACACTTTCCTTTAGTCTCTGTTCCTTTCTTTTTCCATACATTGGTATTTTGGTCTGTAGTGCAAAGATGTTAATATTGAACATATGTGATCACTTCAATATAATTGCATGCAGATACAAAAATATTTGGATTCTTTTTAATTTCTTTAGCCGGTGTGTCTGCTCACCCAGTTGACGTATGGTGTGTTTAGATAACACAATGTATTCTTAAAAAAATAAAAGAAGCGGGCATTATCATCACATTGAACTAGTGCCTGTGTTTAATCTGTTTAAAATAGCATTTACGTGTATTGTGAAAACGATATGTATATATAGATAAGAAGATGTGGTATGATTGCAAATGATAAACTCTCTACCGGGGACTAACTGACATAGACTATGACAACTATATATTACTATATGAATGCTTTTGACTAGATGTATAGGGGAGGGTTGAGATCTCAGAAACATGTTTAACCCCGCCGCATTTTTTCGCCTGTCCCAAGTCAGGAGCCTCTGACCTTTATTAGTCTTGTATGATTTTTAATTTCAGTTTCTTGTGTATATTTCGGAGTTTAGTAGGACGTCTATTATCACTGTACTAGTATACATTATTGTTTAGGGACCAGCTGAAGCATGCATCTGGGTGCTGGAGTTTCTCGCTGAATTGAAAACTCATTGGTGGCATTTGGCTGTTGTCTGCTCTATGGTCTGGTTGTTGTCTCTTTGACACATTCCCCATTTCCATTCTCAATTTTATTTTGACTCTTAACTGTTACCAATCCAATTAATAGGGAGGTTGGGTTGTTGTAGTAAAAACAAACAAAATAAAAATATTTGTACAGTATGTATCATTGTTTCTTTAAGTATGATTTCATCACTTTTCCTAGTCATACTAGTCATGTAAAGATACAAATTTTGTTGCTTTTCTCCCACTCTTTGTTACCACTGGAAATCTGCCATCTGAAAGTAATAACATAATTTGTATTATTTTCTTTATATTTCAAATAACTATGAAAAAAACTATACTTTTCCAATATTTATAAACTAAAATTGAGAATGGAAACAGGGAATGTTCCACCAGGAAAAAAAAACGACTGTGACAGATTTTCCTCATTTTACGTTAGACATGTCCTATTCACTCAAATATTTGCATGTAATTTTCCCTAAATTTTTGAAGCGTCGTCTTCTCCAAAACAGTAAATACAAAATGAATTTACCTATTTCGTTGACACTTTGCATTTGTGCATCGTGACAATTAACCGACTCGGATTGTTCCAACTTTAGCCTTTTACATGGTGGTACGTACTTTCCTGAATAAACCTGCAAACAAAATAGAAGATATTTAATGATACAGCATGTTACAACACTTTATCATATACATAGAGCAAATAGCATATAATATTTACAGTATATGATAATAGCCTTAAATTCACGTCAATTCCATTTTTTTCCGAAATGGTGTTTTATAGCAGCAAAACTCGGCAATTTCCGGAAAATACAACTTAATGGTACGTTTCAGTGAAAAACATTACAATTAAAGTTTGATAAAAAACAATTATTACGATACAGGATAATATCTAACGTAAAAAAAAAATAGAAAATAAAAAAATATACAAATATACTTACAACGTTTACTCTTTTTTGACGTTGTTTTAAATGGGTCAGTTCTTCTGGAACCGCTGATTCCTCTCTAATACCATCGTATGGTATTAAAAACTGTTTTGGGCATTCTGGTACCTAAAACACAAATTTCGAAAATATCGTAATGAATATGTCAGCAAATCTATGTTATGTAAATGGTAAGAACTGAAAAAAAGAAATTATAAGACATTGAAAAGTTCTGTACATGCACAACAAAAACAGCGACAAAAAGCAAAGGAACAGCTCTGTCATTGCTGTTTACTTTAACAAATGGTATATTTGTATTAATCATTTATCCTGTATCAACCAACTGTATTAGTAATAATAACCTAGTCTCTGTGATAAACTATGATAAGTTCTTCTCGTCAAATTAACATATTGTTAATAAAAATACACCCAGAGACCTATAAAATAATGCAGTAAGAAGAATAAACTTAAAATCACATAGCATGTTGCATGTTATAAATGTATAAGTACTGTTAAGATTTGTTTTAACTTTTGCTTTTTTAATTTTCACTTACACCAATAAAGAAGCAAAACAACGTAAATATCACGATGAAATTATTTAACTTTATATACCTCCAAAACTGGTTCTTGGAGGTTTTCAGTTGTTACATTTTCCCACCAGTCCTGCTCCTCTTCATACAAGAGACCACTTGCAAGAAGCTTGTTTTTCACGTTCTGCAATTGTTTTTTTAGGTCTTCCGACCAACATGGCTCTTTTATCAATGGATTATCCTCTGGTGGCAAATTCTAAAATATAACAATGTTGTTTATAAAAACAAAACGATGTGGTATGATTTACAAGGAGACAACTCAAATGACACAGAAATTTACAACTACAAGTCACTGTACGGCCTTCAACAATGAGCCAATCATTTATACCTCATAATTAGTAAGTTAGATATAAAAGGCCCTTAATTAATTGATGTTTAGCACGAATTTGTCTTTTTGTTTATTGTTGATGGTGAGAGAACAGTAAATAATGTTATGAATACACAGTATACCTACAGAAAAAAATCATTCCTTACTAGTTTGGTGTAATTTGTAAAAAAAATGTTTAGATAAGAAAGTTTAAAACTGATGATGATAAAAATAAGATGGACAGTCCAGATAACAGGATGGTATTAAAATTAAAGATTTTCTCTTAGTTTAATTTTTGGTTTAACTACATTAAAAACGCACTTTAAAAACTGTGATAAACATCTGCATGAATTATATGTAATTATTGACAAAATACCATTACCTATTTGAATAATAAGTGTTTACCTTGAATATGACAATGCCATCCTTGTCTTGGTCATTCAAATATGACGTTCTGTCGTTGCTGTCAGGCAACCATTTCTGACTTTTTGCCCATTTCTTATAATTCCAGACTATCTTCCCGTCTTAAATAAAGATTGTATTCGCTTCATGTTTCATTGTACAATGATCAATATTCTAACACTATCTTAAAATGATAATAAAAAAAATGAAAGATTATAAATTTAAGGGAATGGTGACCTTTAAAAACACAATCTGCAACTGAATTCTTAGATAATGAATTCATAACATGTGATTTACTGATTCAATTTGAAACGGAATAAGCTTATCTGATATGTCCCAATGTCTTAATTGGTGAGGAATAACAAACATAATATGCATCTCAAAACAATGGCATTTACAGACATATTACTAGTAAAATAAAAGTGTCAAGTGCATAACCTATATTTAGGTGATAAATGTAATGCATTTTCTGCTCCGTCGGCATCAATTGGTGATTTGATGGTCGCAAATTAAGTTTAATGGTAACAAACTGAAATAAACTGAAATAAACGTTGTATTTGGCAACAAACTGAAATAAATGTTGGACTCATTATTTCGTCGTTTAAAAAAAGTTGAATAGAACTAAAACTTCAATTTTCAAATTATGAAGTATACACTGGTTAACAGTTGATTTCTAGCATTAGAACGGGTGTGTCAACCGCAGAAGGCAATATGACTGCTTGCAAAATTTTGTAAGCTAACAAATCCTACTGAACACTTCAGATATTAATATTAATATTTGTTTGGTAAAAAAAAGTGTCTTGCCTTTTAATGTTGTATGGAATATTACCTTTATTATAATGAATTTGTATGTGAAAGCAGTCATTAAAATTATGGCAACCCGCCATTGTTGGCTCCAACCAAGATTTCACATCCCATACGGTCTGTATGCTTGCAGCGGTTTTTATGAACCCTACCTTCTTAATCTGCTGAATAAGATCTGTAATATATTTATAAATAAACAGCTGCGCCATGAGCGCATGATACGCCCGTCGTCTTGTGTGTGAATTTTTATGCAATAATCATAAATCGTTTTTGAGATACGGCGCGACATGTGAAAATCCCATCCCCCTTTTTTTACAAAATACTCAATAACTCAAAAATAAAATTTTGAATCATCACCAAAAAGTATACAGATCTTAAGGTTTATATAACTAAGAAGTGTGTAAAGTTTTAAGCAATAATCATAAACTGTTTTTGAGATACGGCGCGACATGTGAAAAACCCATCCCCCTTTTTTAACAAAATACTCAATATCTCTTAAATAAAATTTTGAATCATCAACAAAAAGAATACAGATCTTAAGATTAATATAACTAAGAAGTGTGTAAAGTTTTAAGCAATAATCATAAATTGTTTTTGAGATAAGGCGCGACATGTGAAAAAAAAAGCACACACCTGTTTTAGTTAGTAAGTCCCGTAACTCAAAAATTTTTAATCTTATTTTCACCAAAAAGTATACAGATCGTTTGACCATCATAAGAAACAACTATGTTAAGTTTCATGAAATTTGGATAAGTCATCCTCAAGTTACGGTGCGACATATTTACGCCGGACAGACAGACGGACAAAAGGACAGACAGACGGACGGACGGACACCGGACATTTGTATACCATAATACGTCCCGTCAAAAATTGACGGGCGTTTAAAAAATCTATTTTTTCATTCTATGTAGTTGAATAGTTTCAACAAAATCATTTTAAATGCTTGGATATTGTCATTGTATACAATGTACACATATATATATAAATTAATTTAATAATTTCGGGCATCGTTGCCAAACCGCGACATTTATTTTTCTTATGTATTTTTATTTGTTTCTAAGGTGAAAACTCTTAAAATGTCAAAAATTAAATTTATTAAAAAATAAATATTCCAAATGAATTTTGTGTTTGAATGTCAATCATTTTCGTATCCTCATGTGGTGGTCATGAGTTTTGCCAATAAAATGAGGTTTGTAATTTTCTTATCAAATATTCAAACAACATATACATTATTTAAATTATATAAATCCAGAATACTGTTTTTCCTACTTCTTTTTTTTTTTTAAATGGAGAACCTTATTTTTGAAATAATTCATTCTCCATTAAACATACTAATAGAGATATATTTGTATATACCTTTGAAGGTGATAACATCAACTTTTAAAACTTCTGCAATGCTGTGAAACATGGCGTCAACATCCTAAAACAAACTTATATTTAACATTGTTTTCATACAATAAATATCTTTATGGTATTTCATCTAAAATAAGCTATTCGTTCATAAAACATATGCTTGCATGTAAGTCACTTGGAGAATGACTCCTATTTCTTTTTTATTGTATATTTAGAAAATGACTGGCCGGAAATGATAATAGCCATAATCTTGGTACCGTTCAAATTATTTTATATGCTTGTAATATTTGTTGTTACTTGTTAAATATGAAGTTATCAAACGCAATATAAATTCTATTGCTCATCTATAATTTCTATAAACGAAGCAAATTTGACTCCTTTTGTAGCTCAAAAACAAAGAAAGTCATATCTTTTGCAAAATGTTGCAGCTTTTACTATTATAAATGGTGACTTGGATGGAGAGTTGTCTTATACCACATCTTCTTATATCCAAAAAAAGGCATTGTATTGATTCGTGTAATTGTATATAAGTTGGAACCCCCCTTTTATTTGGACGATCAATGCATTTGAATGGGAACATATAGTTGACCCCCCCCCCCCCTTTTTTTTATCCTGGGTTGGGACCCTCCTTTTTGAACTGACTGGATCCACCCCTGATTACATACTGTGTATGTAATTTTTGTAGGTTGAATAAAAAGCATGATAAACTTATTCATTCCATTAAATTAAAAAACCAACCTCGTGCGTGTGACCAACTGGTAACATGTGTAAGTAAACCTACAATTATAACGAATAGTTCAAATAAAACGACATTTTTTTAGTCATATTTCCTAATCAACCGGAACCGTTAGCACTGTGAATCGATAAAAAAATAAATGAATCAACGACAGCAGCTACATATATATATTACACAAAACAATTCCATAAACAACATTAAAACTATTACCATTAACTTTTAAACAGTAAAGATTTTTCTTGTTGATCAAATTAACTGTGGCAACTTGTCAAAATATACACATTATAATATAGTTTCAGTTGTTATGTAATACACAACAAATCATAGTTTCTGGTAGTGTAAATTTAACTTTTTTCATACGATTTTTTAAACTTTGATTTTTATTAGTTAACAATTTTACAATGCCAGACGTAGTTCGGGCACAATTATATAATATACTATTGACCTCTTTGAAAATCTTTCTATGAACTAATACGCCTCCAAATGCGATCATATGGCAATTTTTATTGTTTGATGCACTGTCCATTTGTAAATGCAACACTTTACCATGGGACTGCTTGAAGTCTGAAATGAAAAATATAGAGGTTTTGGCACAAACAAAAAATTAAAACTTTCATTTCTTATTTGGAATACTCAGCTGACCAGTTAGGTTATCTATATTATTCGTAATTGATTTGAAATACATGACAAATGAAAATAAGTGAAAGTTATAATCAAGACTATTAATTTATTTCTAAAATTTCTCCGTGAAACTGTGGATTAATTTCTATGTTCGCTTTATAATATATAAAGTAGAGGTGTACGATTGTTTTACAAAAAACTATTGTATATGGGAAACAGTTGTGCGTTACTTTGGTTGTTGAGTATATATCACTTTCAAACGTTATTTATTACCTTTCAATATTTCAAGCAGCACACTTATATTGAGATTAACATCGTGGGTATACTGAGTGAAATCAAAGAAGCAATATCCAATCTTTTTATATGCGTTGACACCTGGAATCAAATAGGTAATTAATTTCATATTGTACATTGTCTGAAAATATCAAAGTATGTGTACGAGCTTATAAACAGGACGTAAAAGCAATGCTTGGCCATTTTCTCGGTAGTTTTGTAGAAAACTTACAAAATGTTTATTTTGTTTATATCCGACAACGATCATATGCTGTTTTATCATGTCCTTTATAACCGGTGCTTTCAAATTCTGGAGTCGATTTCACAAAAAAACCTTCCGACTAAGATTGATCGTAAGTATATTGAATTGTTCGTGAAAATCCAATAATAGTAATAAGATAGTTAAAGCCAAAGTAATATTTATCAGATATTTTATAGATAAAAAAAATGACGATCAATCTTAGTCTTAAGTATTTTTGTGAAACCGACTCCTGATCTTTAAATTCATATAATCGTCTCTAAGTATAAACCGACACATGTTGCTCCTTTCCCATTTTGAGCAAACCGTTATGTGAAAATATATTTTAGCGTAACGGGTCCTCTTCGCGGTCCGCGTTGTAACAGAGACCAGTACAAATAAACTTAAAACACAATCTCATGCATGTACCTGTTATTTGTACAATAGAGTGCTGATTGTAGGAGAAAATAAAATTTTAAGTTAGCAATTTTTTTTTAATTATTAATGTAAAAAATAAACTTATACTTTGCAATTTTCAACAAATTGAGCATTTACCTTGTCTATGAACTAATGCACCTGTTAAATAAGTTTTGATCGGAGGCACAGATCTATTTTGAATTTCCTTTGAAACTCTCCTGCGCAAAATTGGCACAGATGTCTTGCATTGATCCATAGCATCAAAAATTATGCACATGGAATCATTCGGGTCTTGTCTTGATGCATCACGTCTTTGGTAGTAGTCTAACCTCTCATCTCTAAAAGTAGACATTTAAAATTTAATGAATACGAATGATTTTGTACATTATTAATTCAGTTTCATCATAAAAACATAATTATACCATAGATAATGCAAACTGCCTGTAACAATCCACTCACATTTTTTTTTTTATTTTTCCAAGGTCAAAACCGGTAGGTTTAATGATTTTATCATTGAACTTAAATCGTTATAATTTTTTCAGGTCTACATATGGTCATATTATTTGTTTATTATAGTAGAAATCGCAATAACATGACCTGATATATATATATATAACTTATTAACCTCTTAACAATTTAAAATACAATATCTCAATGAAGGCTCTCCTGTCGCGTGTGCATATAGATACAGATTTGCTGACTTGATTACCTTATGTCATTCCAATGTTCAATTCTTTCTTCTTGTATCAATTTCATCTTTGTTGTATTTTTCTCTAACTTTGAAGTCTCGATATTTTTCAAAAGAGATATGCAGTAATGACATTTGCTGAAAGATGAACCCTGAAATTGAAAAGAAATGAGGCATGAAATATCTTATTTAAAAGTCTATAGCTAATAGCCCGCTCCGGATGAGAGCCGGTGTATCAATTTTTAATTTGGTAGCAAGCCTCATGTGAACATGAAATACCAACAAAGCTGTTTACTGAATACTAACATATTCCTATACATTGTAGGCAAGTATGAAATTTGTTACGCATTTTTCAAGACAGCTCGGAATGGGAGGTTCCATAAATTTTATTTTGACTAACAGCCACCACTTTATAAGTTTCTGTATATCAAATACGCATATCATATATTGGATGTATTATCAGTGAAATTCGTTCAAAGTGTGAGCTCACTTCCACTTGAATTTTTATTAATAAAAAAAAATATCTTCGATCGAGAAATAGATACAATAAAATAAAGAATAATGTAATTTCAGATAAGGTTATGTAAATTCGTTTTTCTCATAAATCAGATAGATTTATTTGCCTGATACCTTAGTTGTTTTCACATTACTGCAAAATCTTTGCCATAATCTGTATTTGGTTTTAACTGGCACTGACGATTCAATTTCTTGGTCCATCTTTTGGAATATATCTTTCTTGGTCATGCCTGTTACATAAAACAAAATTTTTATCATTTAGTAAGACCAGTTTTGATGACATCCCTGCTATCTATTATATGACTGCATGCTATTTATATAGTACTCAACCTTATAATAATTTTATTGCATTAATAAAAAAGTGAGCTAACCTCAAAAGAATAAGGTTGTGTATGGTCAACATATAACAAAGATAGATATCGAAGATATAAGAATTTCCGATTTTTTGCTGTTTATATGTTAGAAATCGATATAAGTTACACTTATCAGTATTCTTTGTGAATTTGTTATGGATGAATGTCATAGTCGTTTGTCATTTACATATTTTCTGTTTACTCACGCTTAATATTTAATTTTTTTCAAAATCTTACAACCATACCTGCGGGCAATTCTATCTTGTCTTCATTTGGCAAATGTTCTCCAATGAGATGAAGATAGTTGAGTAACCACCCAACGCATTCTGAAACAAAAAAAAGTATGCAATAAATAACGATACTTTTTTCTGTAAATTTTAATTTATTGTTATGTCATCTTAATATTCAACACAGTTTAAATCACATAAATACCCATATATTTCTATGAAGCAATCTCAAAATATTTTTCAGACTGAATTTTATTTCTTTAAATGTGCTCTACAAATAATAGCATTAATTATTCCTATTGTGTAATAATTACTTTAAAATGTATGTGTTACATTGGTACCGTTTTGATAAAATTATGATTTACCTGTTGAATTCTTATGTAATTTGAATCTGTCTGCATTTCCATGAATATGGATCGTTTGACCCGTCATAAATCTTTCTTTTGCTTTATCAAATCTGTACTTTGATATTCCATATATGTTTCTATACCAACGAAATTATACAAGTTTTATTTATGATTTGAAATATTTTGTTTAGAAGCTATCATTACTTGAACTTCAATTACTCTACATCTTGTAATTCTGTTCTTTCGATGTGATTTTTTTTGCAAAGTCCCAATTCCCATATGTATGAACGATACCAACAACACCATTTAACGTTCCCTGTTAGTGTATATGTAGCAGAGGTACATTTTTATTATTTCATTTGACAAATTGACTATTGACTATATACAGTATGCAAGTACTTTGCCTTCTATGAACCTTCAAATTATCATATTTTTTTTCTCAATCTAATATCCAAAACAATAGTTGCAAATAACAAATACCAACCTCCACGTCATCTCACAGATACATTTTCCAGCGACATAAAAATTTGTTTCAATTTCCTCTGATATAATTTTATTTCTCGTTATCAATTTTTTCTGTGAGAATTTTGATAGATAATGTACTATCCAATTATTTTGTTGAGTTGTGTTTTCTGGATAGTCCAATTTGGCATTTTGAATATCACATCTAGAAAGTAAAGAAGACAAGTAGATAAACAAAAGATATTGGGTATCCATCCATGATACAAAAGCAGTAAAAACAGCTAAAAAAAATAACCACAAACACAAAAGGTCACACAATGTAAACACAGTTACTGCTGTTAAGTCTGTCTCAAAATATTAGTGAGGCCTTCAACACAGAGCTAAAAAAATTCGCCATAATGCAAGTTTAAAACGGCCCTTTATACCAGTTAAACTGTTTGAGCGTCATTCTTTCATAAATAATTTTATACATAATAACCTTCTAAGGAAAAGAACCATTTGCACTTGATATACTAATCGAAAGAAGATTAGACAAGTTGCTTTTAAAAAAAAAAGACAATACGTGAACCTTAGAACTTTTTTATTCTAATTATTAATTCAACTGAATAAGAAATTATATATCAGTGTTATCTTGGCCATGTGTGTGGAGGATAATATTTTCTTTTTATTGTAAATCATTACAATTTTGGCATGTTGAGAGAAGTGTTAAATATAAAGCAAGGAGAGAAAAAAAAAGATTCCCAGACGCATAACTTCTTAAAGAATAATAATAATTCAAAACATGGAGGACACATGTACATTCTTCCAAAAATTCATAAAATTAATCTAGAAATAAGTAATGAGGCATTGCGAACTGATCAGCTAGCAGGACACATTAATGTTCGTTACCGACCAATCATCAATAAGTGTAACTCTCCCGCGATAGATACTTACTTGATCTAATTATAGATATAAAAAAAGAAGATGTGGTATGATTGCCAATGAGACAACTCTCCACACGAGACCAAATGACACAGAAATTTACAACTATAGATCATCCTATGGCCTTCAACAATGAGCTAAGCCCATACCGCATAGTCAGCTATAAAAGGCCCCAAAATGACAAATGTAAAACAATTCAAACTAGAAAACTAACGGCCTAATTTATGTACAAAAAATGATCGAAAAACAAATATGTAACACATCAACAAACGACAACCACTGAATTACAGGCTCCTAACTTGGGACAGGCACATACATATAGAATGTGGCGGGTTAAACATGTTAGCGGGATCCCAACCATCCCCCTAACCTGGGACAGTGGTGTAACAGTACAACATAAGAACGAACTATAAAAATCTTGACCATTTAACTTTCACTTGTTTATCAAAGGGTACAACTGTCAACATTGCTCAAGTCAGTAAACCCTTGCAATGCATAAAATGTAGCTTTACAATAAATATACATGTTTGAAAAGGATCTATAGATTGTTTATTATCATATATCAGATAAGTGAATTAGCGATCTTCGAAAATTCTTTATTGCCATGTTTTGAATATCTTAGATACACCGTATGGAGGTGCTCTTAATTTAAGGAAGCTAATACAGATAAGATGAATAGGTGTTCCGAATGAACAATAATTTAGCTTCCAAATATTCCTCCATAGACTATATTTCTAACTAATAAATATGCGTGAACCCTCAGGGGTTCACGCAATAAGATATGAAATACCAACCTGGACAACCGGTTTGAACAGCTTTTCTCACAACAAATTTCTGTATCTGAAAATGTGAATTATATCAAATGTAAGACTATAATTCTTTGAATTAAGGTAGTTAAGGGATATACCGCCATCTTGAATTGTACAATCACAGTAAATAATCGGTCTAGTTCTTTGCCCAAATCTGCAAATTTGGAGACAGATTTGCAATTTATTGGTTACACTGTTTATTTATGTAAAGAAAACTTAGTTATTCATTGCATTATCGAAAATGTTGGTAATTTTGAACGACTCGTACCTTGAAAAATAGCGCGGTGACCCATACTTTTTAACAATTTTTTAAAAACAGCATAATAAAATCTTCATTTTGGCAAAGTAAAAGAAAATTCTGTCATTTTTTTTCTATACCCCTGAACTACCTAAATGATATCATAAAACAGTAACTAAAGTTTTTTATCACATTTTATCCATTTATTTTTAACAAATTTATAGAAAGAAATTCGGAAATCTTGGTATGTTCATTGATATGTAGCTATTTCTTCATTTAAGCGATGTGCAGTCCGACTTTCTCCGGATAATTTGGCATTGAAAAAACAAAGTTTTGTTATTGCTAATTTTTCCGACTCCGCTAATAATTTCCGTGACATTATAGATGTTCCGGCTCTTGTGCCGAAAAAAGGGACAAAGAGAAAAAACCTGAGAAAGTAATTCAGAAATGCTCGTAATTGCTCATAATAATATTTTAGGTATTTTGGTCTCTTTTCAATGATTTTTGTAATGAATGACAAAGACTTTTTCGCGCTTTTCAAGTTTGTGATTGCATAGTTAACCCCACAATCTGTATGTATAAAAAAAAAAGAAGATGTGGTATGATTGCCAATGAGAAAACGCTCCACAAGAGACCAAATGACACAGAAATTAACAAATATAGGTCACCGTACGGCCTTCAACAATGAGCAAAGCCCATACCGCATAGTCAGCTATAAATTTGACTGTCTCAATTCAGAAGCGTGTACATTTAGTGGTTTTCGTTTGATTTCGTTTCATGATCATGTCTGTCCTTTATTTTAAGTTTTGCTGCAGGTAGACCACTACAGAAGGTTAGTTTCCAAATTTTTAGTTGAATAATGTCCAGTAATCTTCATAATTTTCTATCTAAATATTGAAATAAAATAAAATAATAATGAAATGTTTAAACTTACCATTACATTTTTCTGCGGTTTCGTCAAGAAAATACACATCTTCTTCATCAGATGCAGCTTCGTCATTGTCATCATCAGTTTCGTCAATAAAATATACGCCTTCTTCATCAGACGCAGCTTCGTTATTGTCATCAAGAAAAAAAATATCATCATCCAGAAGTAATGCATCGTTTGTATCCATCCTATAAATTTAAAAACAAAAAACTATTGGTCTTGGCAATTTTTAAGACATGAAAACAATTGATCTCTATAATTCCCCCCCCCCAAACCCCCCCCCCCCCCCCCCCCCACTTTTTCAACAGACTAGAACGCCCCCACCCCTTTAAATTTTTGAGGGGTTCCTAGTAGTTGGAATGCTAATTAATATATTGGTCTTATTGTCTCTGCAGGCGTGTAAAAATTACTATTTTCAGTTGCAAATTCTTCACTGCTCATTACGACCCCCCCCCCCCCCATTATATTCCTCTCCCCTTTTCCAATTTACTACTGCATCGGTTTGCTATCCATTCTCTGTATCAGCAATGTGTTAAATATTAAAAAATATTACCTTGGATTTACGCAGAGGTATCCATGACAAAATTAATTTATCGCTCCAAATCCCAAAGATTCTTTTTGTTTTCTTTTGTTTTCAAATGGAGCGTGCAGCTGCGTAACTTCAACTGTCAAATAGTAAATATTGCACACGATATAGTGCTGAATTTTTTTCCCCATTCGCATATGTAAATTATAAGATAATTCATGAAAAATTGAAAGTTTAGACATTTTTCTTTTTTTGTTATTTTTTTAGTCTCATTCACTCATTTTACATTAACTTATTTAATATCACTGACATCAAAACAATGCTCATTAATTTACAAGAACGTGGAGCATGACGTCATCGACATTGACGCAGAATGTAAACATTTGACTGAAGAGATGCCGACTTCTTGGACTTTTGTTCCTTTACAGGAAAAGGTTTATGTGTTTCGCAATGGGAAAAGAATTGTTATGAGTTCTGGGAAGCATGATATGCTTCCCGACGTTTTCCAGGTGGAGGTTATAACAGAATCAGATGTGTTAAGAAATAAAATCAACGTGAAGACAGAAGATGCCGTTCTAGTAAGTTACGCATCCACGTCAAACAAGAAAGCAGATAAAAAAAATACAGCATCCTACATATACTCATTTTTAGATTGACATGCAATTATAACAACGCAAACAAAAGTTGTTTACTATTTGACTCGAACGTTCCGCTTAAATTCATTACAATCTTGCTAACCTAACGTAGTAAAGAACAGTCTCCGGAACAAGTTTGCACTTCCGCTGAGTGCAAAAGTTGTCACCTTAATTTTTGGAGTTAAGTCAAAATGAAGTTGATAACTTGGTTGGTATTGATTCCCTGATATTTGTCCTAAAAATTTTTGGCTCTAGCACCACTGTTGAAAAAGTTATGCCCCTTTTTTCAACAATTTCCTCAGAGGAAAAGTAGTTTTCCTCAAGGGAAATCAAATTTCCCTTAAGGAAAAAGATTTTTCCTTAAGGGAAATTGTATTTTCCTCAAGGGAAAAAGATTTCCCTTAGGGAATTTGCTGCATTAATATTTCCTTTGAGGAAATTCTATTTCCTGTGAGGAAATTTGCGGCTTCAAATTTTCCTCTGAGGAAATTCTATTTCATGTATTTCCTTTGAGGAAATTTGAGGCTTCAAATTTTCCTCTGAGGAAATACTTTTTCCTGTGAGGAAATTTGCGGCTTCAAATTTTCCGTTGAGGAAATACTTTTTCCTGTGAGGAAATTTTGTCAACAGCAATTTCCTGTGAGGAAATTTTTGACAAACACTTTTCCTTGAGGAAAAATTCAAGACCACAAATTTCCTCTAAGGAAAACATTGTTCTCCAAATTTCCTCCATGGAAATTTCTGTTGTTCAATTTTCCTCTATGAAAATTTCATAACAGTAAAAAACAGTATGAATATAATTTTTCCTGAGACTGAATAATTGATACAAAAGATAATTAAAACTTTAATAAAATGTTCACTGATGAGTAACATGGCATACAAAAACAATAGGCTAGCTGTTTGAGACAATACAATAATAAGCAAAATGCTACGAATATCATACTATTTGTGATGTTATTAATATTGTGCATATTTGCAGATTAAATAAAATAACCACTTTTCATGTTAATTTAACTTTTCTTCTGTTTAAGCTGCTGCATACAATTATTCAATCCCCTACATAACAGTTCAGTGCATAAATAATTCCATCCACCAGACATCTTCCTTCAATTGGTAAAGAATACATTTTTGCAATTTGTTCTTCAAACATCTTCCTCTGTATATTTGATATGACAGAGCTATGTACATGAATGGATAAAGCAGGTGTTTATTTCGACAAAATATTATTTTTTCTACATTTTTCCATAATCCTTCAGTGAATATGTAGGTTGTTGCAATTACACAATTGTGTTCTTGTGCATCTATGATTGTATTCCATTTTGTTTACAGCCATTTTGTAGAAATTTCCTATTTTCTTTTTCCAGGTAAGCACATATTTCATTTCACATTAATCCAATTAGCACACAATGTAGAAAAGTATTAACCTTAAGTTTCCTCTTCTGTATTGACCTGTTGATGATCATGAAAACCAAGAAGTCTCACCTATAAATACACAATATATAAATTGAGAAAAAAACAGCAATATGAAATAAGCTTATTTTATCATGTTTAATATGAACATTTTGAGAAACTTAAATTTGATATTCTAACTAATCATGATTATGAGTTCTGTTATTTCAGTGCTTTGTGTCCACGACTTAATATCAGTCGTTTTAGTGCCTTGCAGTGATAATGAGTTGAGCCACTTGCAACAGTTTTTACAGTTTGTTCATATGTTGTGCTATTTGAACCACTGTCCTAGATTATGGTTAGGTGGAGTGCTCACAGCCTCACAGACATGATTTTTTTATTAATTGTTATTGGCTTTGAACTAATTTGGATTGTTTAAATCTTTTCATGTTGGGTCTAAATTGGCTGACTTATAAGGTATGGGTTTTCTCATTATCGAAGGCTGTCATTGGTCTTTAATTGCTTGCATCCACTTCATTGAGCTCTGGTGGATAGATAACTCATTTAATACCATACCACATCTTCTTATTTTTATAATAGTCTTCATTCAAGGGCAATCACTTTTATTATATAGAAGTGGTCTTACCATTTAGGCCTTGTTGTCTTCTGTTTATCTTGTTTTGCCGATCATTTCTACTGTACAGTCGTAATTGTTTATATTTTTCTTTATCTTCTATATTTCTTGCCCTAAACTTAAAAAAGGTAAAAACTATAATTTAATGACTATAACTATCATTATACATCAGTATGTGTTTTTCTATATACCATGATATAAAAAAGGAATGAAGTATTTGTGCTATTTCATTTCACAGACTATTTGCCAGTCAACAGTTTCAAAGACATAACCACGGTCAATAGTTTAACAAACAAACATTCCCGTACTTTTTCATCGTGTTCATACTAATTTTTCAATGGACAACAATGACGTGATTAACTATTCTTTCATGATTTGTGTGCTTGACAACATTAAACTCTGAAATATTGTTAACGGTATAATCTGTATGTGTCTGTAGTCAAAATTTTAAATTAATATATTACTTACAAAAGCAATTAAAACAAGGGGCTCACAAAATGAATGTGGTCTAAGAACTTAAAAATTTCTAATTTACCTATTCAAACCATATCATTATTATTTGCTCTCATATATAAATCAGAAATAACCAATTCAAAATGGAAAATTTTAAAGAAAACAAAAGGAAAAAAAATCCCCCCCCCAAATTTTGTGAACCCCCTTATGATTCATCACCCCCAAACTCAATCCCAGCCTTCCCTATGTGGAAATGTACCTTACAGTACAATTTCAGAGAGATCCATACACTTGAACACAAGTTATTGTCTGGAAACAAGAAAAATGCTTGTTTTTTGGCCCCTTTTTGGCCCCAAATTCCTACACCGTTTAGGGCAATTACCCCCAAACTCAATCCCAGCTTTCCCTTTGTGATATGGAACCTTGTAGTACAATTTCATAAAGATCCATACACTTACACACAAGTTATTGTCCTAAAACTAGAAAAATGCTTTTTGTTTTCCCTTTTTTGCCCCTAATTCCTAAAATTTTGAGGCAATTACCCCCAAAATCAATCCCAGCCTTCCCTTTGTGGTATGGTACCTTGCAGTACAATTTCAGAGAGATCCATACACTTGAATACAAGTTATTGTCTGGAAACTAGAAAAATGCTTATTTTTGGCCCCTTTTAGGCCCCTTAATCCTAAACATTTTTAGCAATTACCCCCAAAATCAATTCCAGCTTTCCCTTTGTGATATGGAACCTTGTAGTACAATTTCAGAAAGTTCCATACACTTACACACAAGTTATTGTCATGAAACTAGAAAAAATGCTTGTTTTTTACCCCTTTTTTGGCCCCTAATCATGCTAATTCCTTAAATTTTGAGGCAATTACCCCCAAAATCAATCCCAGCATTCCCTTTGTGATATGGATATTGTGGTACAATGTCAGAGAGATCCATACACTAACACACAAGTTATGTCTGGAAGTTACAAAAATGCTTATTTTTGGCCCCTAATTCCTTAACTGTTGGTACCATAACCCCCAAAATCAATCCCAACCTTCCTTTTGTGGTATTGAACCTAAAGGTAAAATTTCATAGAGATCCATTTACTTAAACTAAAGTTAGAGTGCGAAAACCAATGTGTCTTTGGACGACGACGACGACGACGACGCCAACATCATACCAATATTTTGACCGCAAAATTTTTTTGCGGTCGTATAAAAACTGCAAAATTTCCTTAAAATTACCCATCTAGTGGCAGCAACCCAACAATGGATTGTTAGATTCATCAGAAAATTTAATGGCTGATAGAACTTCACATAATGAACAGTTTTACCTCACATAAGATTTGCTCTAAACGCCTTAGTGTTTGAGATATAAGCCAAAAACTGCATTTTACCCCTATGTTCTATTTTTAGACATGGCAGCCATGTTTATTGATGAAACAGAAAATAAAACACAAGCTTTATTCTAAATACCCTAGGATCATATGCATTCAGCCTAAGTTTGGTTGGAATTGGTTCAGTAGTTTCAGAGGAGAAGATTTTTTAAAGTTAGAAAACATG